GCGCATTGAGTGTATTTTCATCATTTTTCATTAACCTGTAGAAGAAAAAGACAGAAATAAAAATAACAACTGCACTAGATCTACCAATCGGAAACGGCATAAGTAAAAACTAGTAAAAAGTGATAAAAATGGCGGCCCCCTATGCGTTACCAATAAATCGGATGCGCAGTCGTCTAAGCGCATTCTATTTCCCTCACATATCTCTGAAGTGATGACGGCAGCACACTCTGACAAACAACTACTCTACCTTCACACTCCATTTCTAAACGCACTCCTGAGGGAAAGCAGATTACATCCAAACAAGAACCTAACAAGATTGTTAAGTCAGAAGTACAGGATTATGACCTTGGAGAGGAGGCTCCTCAGAATGATGGTAATCACCTTTACGATTAATAAAGGGATGTTTTATCTTTTTTTGGAAAACACCGCCAAAACTAATTGAGATACGGAAAAATTGCAAGATACCAAAAACCTTTGCAATGAAACGGAGAAGCTAGTAGCTCAAAAAAAATTAGTTAAAAATGTGCTGATAAAAAATTTAGGGTGGTTTTGGGTGATCTCACCCCCCAAAAAAGATCAACCCCTTGATTTATCGTGAAGATTGTGACCATTTTTGAAAAAAAAGCAAGAGATATACGCTCTGTACAAAATTTGAGCTATTTATCTTAGAAATTGAGAAATATAATACAAAAAAACATTTCATTTTCTTGAATTTCTAGATCCAATAACTCGGAAACGAAATGTTTCCGGACCCATATTTATAGGAACTTTTTTTCTTATTTTGATGAGTTATATCCGCCTTTATAGTTTGTTTCTGAAACACCCCTGTATATTGTATTGCCTGTAGGGTTTAAGGAAAATGGAACAAACATTTGTAAACTTAAAAAGTCACTGTATGGGTTGAAAAGTTCTCCTAAGAATTGGAACTTGAAATTTCATACCTTCATGTTGTCTTTAAATTTTAGAAGATCAGAATTCGAATGTTGCTTATATACAAAAATCACAGACAATTCTAAGATATTTTTGTTAATTTATGTAGATGATCTTTTACTATCAGGTACAGATTTGGGAGAAATTGAAAGGGTAAAGTGGCAACTAAAGGAAGGTTTCGACATGAAAGACTTAGGTAGGCTAAGTACATAGTTTTTTAGGTATAGTTTTCAGCTATGATGTTTCAGAGGGTAAAATTGTGCTTGATCAAACAAAGTATTTAAGAGATATTCTTCAAAAGTTTGATATGCGAAATTGTTAACCTTCTAAAACACCAATGGATCTTAATTTTAGTCATGATATTTTGAAAAGAAGTAGCTCTGAGAGTTCTGAAAGAGAACGTGAATGTAGGACGTTGATTGGGTCCTTGATGTACGCAATGCTCTGTACAAGACCTGATTTATCTATATATATAAACGTGAAATTCACTCACTCACTGACTGACTGATTAAACACGAAATCTCGAAAACTACTGAACCAATCGAGATGAAATTTTGCAAACAGGTAGGTAATAGGTTGGAGATGCTCACTAAGAAATAATATCAACATGGCCTTAAGCAATCGCCTTAAATAACCAAAAATAAGAAACGGTGTGGTGCGGAAGTGCGGGGAAAAAAGTGTAAACAGAAACAGACGACGTGTCAACTGTCAAATTCAGAAATATGACAAGCAGAATCAAATTCATAGCGATTTCCATTTGCAGAATCAGTGCAAAAAAAAAATGTGTTTTTGTCGTTATATTTTCAGGCTTTCATCAGAAACGATTCGGAACCGATTCTGAACAAATTCCACCGGTCCCAGGCTAAGCTAACTTCAAGTTTGAGACATGACATTCGCAATTCGTTCACGTATTCGACAGTCTGGAGCAAGGTTCTGGAGTTTTTGTTCGGTTCCAAAACTGTTCGCGATAAAATAAGAACCTGAACCCATTCACAAGTTGGGTTCGGGTTGCTCACTCCGAGTTACTCCGATCGCACTCCAGCCGTTATCTGATAAGCTAAAAGGTAATACCCGAACGGCTGAAGTGCGAACGGGATCACTCGGAGTGCACGGCGTGAACAAGCCGAACCCAGCTATAACTGGGCATGCGCTCTACGATAGTCCTCAATTAGTTCCGGACTGGTTCGGAATCGGTTCAAAATATGATCCGCGAACAAAGCTATTAGCAGCGAGTGGCACTTCAAAAAAATTTAACGTCAGCTGTCAAAAAATAGTCTTCATATTCTGCAGCCACAAAGCAGAACAAAAAATGTGGTTTACAGAGAGGTGCTGCAAAAATAAGAGTTACATGACCATATGTCTGACGTAACTATCCCCTTAGCTCTTTGAAAGAAGATCACCTAATGCTACCTACACCCTAATACACCTACAAAATTTGTCTAGGGCGTGCGAAGCCGCGGGCAACAGCTAGTGTATTTGTATAAGTGTTTTAAGCAGATTTCAATATTAGGCTTCTATACAAATTGTTCCAGGCACTCAAGAGAGTATTGCGTTATATTCAGGGTACTTTAGATTATAGTTTAGTGTATAAAAGACAAGCTGTTATTGATAAAAGTGCTATTATTGTGGGATATGCTGACGCTGACTGGGCTGGGGATAAAGTGGACAGAAAGTCTACATCGGGGTATGTTTTCAAAGTATTTGACTGTACAGTGTCTTGGTGTTCTCGGAAACAGTGTAGTGTCGCACTCTCTTCAACCAAGGCAGAGTATGTATCATTAGCCCTATAGCTGTCAGCGAAGCATGTTGGTTGAGGAATATGATAAAAGACTTTAAGTTTTTTGAAAATTTTGTATGTGTCACATTATTTGAAGATAATCAGGGAGCAATTAAGTTGTATAAGAGAAAGACAGAAATAAAAAAAAGTGCACTAGTTCCGCACTAGGTCTACCAATCGGAAACGCCATAAGGTATTTACCAAGTAATATGCAGTTAGCTGATGTTATGACAAAACCACTTGGCCTTGAATTGTTTTCTAAGTTTAGAGATATGTTAGGAATACGTGATTTACCATTGAGAGGAGAGAGGAGGTATTGAATAACAATGGTAAATCCAGTGGAAATTCTTAAGTGGGTATTACAGAATGTATTTGTTTGTACGCAGAATGGCCGACAGATGGCGACGCCTGATCTTGTCAGTTACAGTGATTCTATTACCACAGTAGCGACAATTGTCGTCTTCTTTTTGATTGGTTCTTTAGAATCCTATATATTTATATGGAAAACGCCGTCATTTTGTGCCCAACCTTTTGCTACTTTTAAATATTAATATATAGGATTTGAATGGACATCCATCATCCATCATAAAAAAATGAAAACAACGTATCCGATGACTATAATCAGGCACATCAAATACGTTGTTGCTCAATTTTTTATGATGGATGTCCATTTAAATCCTATATATTCATATTTAAAAGTAGTAAGAGGTTGGGCACAAAATGGCGGCGGGACCTCTATTGTCACCACTGTATGTAAAGGTTTATTAAGCCACTGTATTGCCAGTGACTTTTGTTTGTCTTATTTTCATTCAAGGTATTCTTTAACAGAAAAATATATTTGTCATCAACTTTGTCATTATCATAAGTTGTCTTTTGTAAAAGTAATGTTTCCTTTCTCTTGAAATAAACAATCAAGTAGTTCAATTCAGCCTTGATTAGTTGTCTTTCAAGTTAATAATTATTTGTTTTATCTCATTTTGACGTTTAAAAATGACATTATTGAACGCATAATAACAAAGGTAACTTGACGTTTATCACCTGAGTGATTTAATTTTTTTTTAAACTCGCTCTCGGTTTTTCAAGTCACTCTGCCAGTATTAAAATATGCTACGAATACAAACAAATGACTAGTTATACCCTAGCAATCACCAATTTCAATATTAGCTTTTAGCACTTTCATAAGCTATAGGTTTTTTATGGTATATTTAGGATGACGTCATCGAACAAGAACAGACAATCTTGCCAATGCCTATTTTTTTTTTCTTATAATTTACCAGAATGTCTCAAAAATAACGAAATGAAAATGTTCATATACAAGTCATGCAACGTCGCGCGCTGTTGCCAATCAAAAACATCTGGAATTCCCTTACTCCAAATGCGTTACAAAGGAGGTACTTTTAGTTTTGTTAGGTTGGCAGCAAAAATTTACTAAATGTGACGTCATCCTAAATATAGCGTGAAAATCCTATACTAAATGAATTTTTTTTATAATTTGATTTCTATTTCTTACTTTTCAAATGTCCATCAAAATGGGATAAAATTTTGTATACATTACGTGAGTTGAAATGTTTATTCATTCGGAGAAAATTAACTCACTCGCTAGGACACTTGGCGTATAAATAACTATTATATTCTTTTTACAAATTTTATATTTATGCTATTTCTATTTTAAATAATTCACTTACATGTAAGTAGTAATTTTGTAATTTTATACATTTTTAGCCCTGAAAAAATTACGAAATAGTACCGAAAGCTTGGTATGTAATAAAGAATTATTTTGAAAAAATTGTGTGGCTGATTTACCCGCTATCTAAGAAAAACGTAAAAATAAATTCAAATAATTGCTTTATAAAATTGTGTTGTAACAACCCGAATTAGCATCCGTGTTTCCATCTTTGAGCTTCAAAGTCGAAGTTCGTAAGTTACAAACTGGCAAAAGTGGTTTCGAACTTGCGAGCGGCTAATTTCTAAACTGAGAGTTTCCTCACACTTGCTGCTGAATATTTAATTAATTAGAACCAAGTTAAACACAATTCTTGATTGAAATATTATCGACATATACTGGATTACTGTGTATTTATTTATCCATGAAAATAATTGGAAAACTCTTATCCTGAACTTCTCCCGGGAAGCCCGAGTCCACTGCTCAGTGAATCGATTCCCAAACAGGGACCGTTGTGTCCCTTAATTCACGTTGGTCATTACCTGAAAAAAAAAAGGTTTTACCAACTCTTAAGCTGTTTCATATTTCCAAAAAATGTTCCAAAGATTCATTTTGATAATTTTATTTCAGGAAATCAACTACGATTCACCAAGAGGTGGTGTTTCGGTGATAACCGAAAAAGGTGACGTCACCGTTTCCTACTTGCTCATACAACGTGCCACGGAAAAGGACAGCGGCAAATACACGTGTCACCCTTCCAATGCCAATCCGAAAAGTTTAGCTGTGCACGTACTAAATGGTAAGATACTTTGTTCATATTTTTTAAGCAACTTTATCAGAACTCCTATTATGCGAAAAAATTGCCCCGAATGAGTTTTACGTTTTAGGGGCTTTTATTCGAAAAGTTTTAATCGCAGACCCAAAAACAGAGAGCAAAAACTTCAGCGATAATTGGACGACAACTTTTTCGTGAGTTCAATAATCAAGGCGCACACGTTTACAATTTATCAGTCTGTGTACGTTATCATCTCTCGTAAATAAATCTTTCAGTCCCAAGGCGAATTGGCGAAGTTATTATACCTATAGCCTATACGAACGAACTGGGAAATCGATGTCCCGATCGGCGTTATTTGACAGGTTATTTCCGAGATGCACCGTGCAAGATTGCAGTCGTTATGTTAACCTAGTCAAATGCGGATTTGTTTTGTGCTGATGGAGGAAATTTAGGAGAGATTCGATTTTAATATGTTTTCAAAAACCAATGATAAATTACCACTGCATTTTCCTGCAGAGTAATTTTTTTCTCAAGAGAAATTCTGGTTAAGCCAAGTGCCAAGTTCTTAGCAGGCAATTTATTTATAACGCTTGATGCACAAGCCGGGTTAGTCTTGACGAATGCGTTCGCGGTCCAGCTAAGAAAACAGGTACCGACTTGATTAATTGGATTTTCCCTTGATTTTCCTCGGCCTAATATATTAGCATCATCGTTGCGCTGCGGTCAGCTATTTGCTGAATAAAACATTCGGGCTTTAGTGCTGACGCGGTCAAATTTATTATTTATCACCTTTGATGTGGCCACCGTTTATTTATTAAATGAATCATCACGAATTTATGCTGTAATTTTCATAAAATTTAAACAGAAAGTTGCTACGACTCGTAAAACCTAAAGGGTTTAATATACATACATACAAACGTGAGACCCTTTAGGTGACGAATAATAATAAAATCTCGTGTTTATGTTGAGAGAAAGGGGCATTTGAGTATGTTTGTTAGCTTTTCAGGGTACTCGTTTTGGCAAATTTAACGATTTATTATTGAACTATGGATGTAATGAGTATATTATAGAACTCTGTTCCTTTGTCGCTTTGAATATTTTCAAATTTTTTGACAAATATCACATGTAGGTACTTCAACTCAAATTGTTTGAACATCATTAGGTAAAAGCTATTTTCATGAAAGTCATTACTGTAAATCTTATATATAAATTTCAATAAAACTACATCTTGATATTATTTTAGACCAGTCACACTCATCTTTAAAATATTTTTAGTAGTATAGTAAATTACTCCTTTGATATCATCCGAAAATTTCCGCCTTTGCGCACAATAAAAGTTTATATTTTGCCGATGAAAAGTCGGAAGTTGTTACTCCAAGTCCCATTAACGGGAAGTGAGTGCAGAGTGTTTTTATTTTCCTTTTGTCGACTCACTTTTCTGTTCTGTGCTCGGTGATAACATTTCGAAAGTGCGAGGGAATTTGCGAAGTCACTATCATCGGTTGATCTTTATAACAACAGGAAACATGATTTTATGAAATGTACTTTCAAGTCAAGAGAGTCTTTTTTATTTTTAATTGAATTAATTTTTGAAACTTTATTTTTATATGGGTTTCAAGTTTCATCTCCGTGCTGCTCAAGGACAAATTGCATGATGGCGCCTCCTAGATGGAAGTAAAATAACTTCACGTTTGGATCTCCAAATGTAGGCTAGTCCAGGGGGATCCATCAGACATTTGAGAGTAGATATCTGCAATATCGGATCAGCATCTGCAAGCAATTAAACCTCACATTTTACCTCTAGCAGAAACAAAAGTGAACCGGGAAACAACTGAAGTTCATATGTTGTACTATGGAAACGAAAAATTTATTGAATTGAAGCTTTTGAGATTAGAATTATGTCATCAACATACAATAAAAGGAGTGTCATTGTTATAATACAAGCAAGGATGTTTCATAGACCTTCGTAAACAAAAATCAGTAATGATTTTGTGGAATAGGTTATTCCAACATTCAGGTGCCTGTTTCAGGCCATATAAGGATTTGGTTAACTTATATACAAGGTGTGGATTACCGTCAAGACCCTTGGGTTGCTGCATATACACCGGTTTTTCTTTCCATAAAGAAAGGCTGCATTGACATCCAGCTGTCGCACACACATGTCTTACTCGAGATAGAGACAGAACAAAACCGATGGATAACATTTTGGCGAACAGCGCATATACATTTTCATCGAGTTCACTCTGAAGAAAGTCACGAGCCACTAAACGCGCCGTTTTCACTTCTGTTCTATTAACACTTTTCTTCCGAAATACCCACTTCGAATCTACGATGTCTTGATTTTGAGGAGGTGATACCAATTCCCAAGTTGACATCTTTTTCATCAAATTCAGTTCTTCTTCTATCGCTGTCTTCCATCCACTGTCTTTTACTGCTTCAAAGTTTAGCTTGCAGTCGTCTAAATATCGTGGTTTCTGTCTAATTTGGGTACCGTGTTGTTTGTTTTCATTACTTGTTATTTTTAACTTTTCTGCTTTCGCAATTTCTTCTATATTTTTAACATTTTCTTCGGTTTCTTCTTCCAAATTTTCCTTAAAATCTTCTGCTGTCTCATCCTGTTGACTCAATTCATTTATGTTTATGTCGGTTACATTCCTCTGATTCTTATTTTCATTAAAAACTACATCTCTTGCGTGAACTATTTTATTTTCTTCTGGGTTCCACAGCCTATATCCGTTATCAGAGTATCCTATCATAATCATCTTTCTGCTTCGAACACCGAATTTAGTTTTCCTATCTTCTCTTGGGATTAGATTAGGTATATGCTTCGCAGCCAAAAAGTTTGATTTTGTTGACATCTGGTTTATATCCATACCAAATTTCTTCAGGGGTTATATTATTTGGTAATACACTTGTTTCTGTCAGATTCAATAGGTAAACGGCACATCTCACAGCTTCTCTCCAAAAGATTTTTGATATATTGAATACAAAATCAAACATCTTGCAATATTCTTAATATTTCTGTTAAAAATTTCTGCAACACCATTTTGTTGGGAATTTCTTGGAACGGTGTACTGAATATGTATACCGTGATATTTGCATAGATTTTTAAAATTTTTAGAAATATATTCCCCACCATTGTCACAGTGTAACCTTTCTATTTTTCTTTAAAATTTGGTCATATTTATAAATTTTTCGAATTTTTGTGTCACCTCACTTTTCTGATTAAATAAACAACACAAAAATGATAGTAGTGGTCAATAAAACTTACATAATAGTTGTTTCCGTCATGCGTTGCTGGATTGATGAGATCACATACGTCTCTAGAAATGGTTTCTAAAATTGTTGTTGGCTTTGTGAAATCAGGTATTCTGCAGTAGGGTTTTTTAATCTGTTTGCCTTTCATGCATAATTCACATATTCCGGGACTAGTAAATTTTGCTGTATGTCCCATTTTTCTATGCATCACAAGCTGTTTCATTTTCAGGCAAGTTCATGGTAACTTTATATAAATTTCCAGTTAGCTTTCCTTTTAAAATTTCCATTTTTCCTTTCTCAATGATAGCTTCATTATTGCTGAATAAAACTTCCAACCCGGCTTCTTCTAATTTCCGAAATGACAATAAAATGAAAAATAATCCGTGACAAACCCATAGTTTACTATGATAGCCAGGGCTGGAACTCTGTAACGGATAAGGATCGTTATTCCTATTGTATAAAAACGACGACGAAATGGACTGTATCAAAGTTTTATTCTTCTCTAACGTTCACGTTAACAAATCAAAAATTAGAATAATAATTCTTACTATAAGCAAAAAACAAGATTCATTTCTAATTTAAAATTAAGCAAATTGAACAAAATATGATAGAGCATCAGCTCATGCAAAACTAATAGTATATTACATACCGAGTAGGGAAGTGTTTCATTACATCGAGAGATTTATATAGTCAATCGAGACGCGAAGTGTCGCGATTGACTATTAATCTCGAGACAGAAATGAAAACTTTCCTCCGAGGTTTGTATACTATTTTATTTGCAAGCACACCATTAATTATGATTAGTCATTTAATTTTTTTAATATTAAAAAAAATAAAACAAACATGCCAAAATGTGTCAGTCACTGTTTTGACGTTTTTACCTGACATGTTCTCATTGTTGCCAGCAAAGGTAAATAAATTAAAGTGAGGGAAATCGGTGAGGGAAGTCGGATAGAGAAATCGGTGAGGGAAATCGAAGAGGGAAGTGACACAGGTAAAGTGACACTTCCAAATTTTTAAAAAGTCAGTAATGTCAAGATTACATATATGGTTGCAAATAAAAAATATTTTTCGACTAATTTTAACAACGGGTGCGGCTCGAGTCGCCGACGTCGGTGAATACCAATAAAGTACTGCCCTCTAGAGAATTGTCCCCTCTCCGTCTAGTCTTCTCACTTCGGGTAGTTTACGCATCGCCGTAAAAATGTGTATTTGTAGATATTATATTAGGTTTTGGCCTTTTTTAATGTAGCAAGGCAATGTTGAATTTATTGAAACAGAAAATATTGTTTGTGATTTTTAACATCGCCCCCCGCCTTGGAAGGTATGGCTTTCAACACAAGAAACTAATGTTCGAAGGCACTAATCATTGACTGGGTACAATGTCACTAATTAGGATTAGATTGTCAATAGTCTAGCACTCAAAAGTCAAAAGTCGGTAGAGAACATATCTTAGCGAAAGCCCGGGTAATGATTCCATTCTGCGTCTTAACGGTTACGACGCGAATTGCACCATCAACACCGGGATGAATCTGCACTATGCGTCCCAACGACCATTTTAGAGGTGGCATATTTTCATCCTTAATAAGCACCAAATCATTCATCTTCAGCTCGCCTTTAGCCTTGTTCCACTTAACTCGTTGATGGAGCTCTGAGAGGTACTCGGATGTCCATCTAGCCCAAAAGTGCTGCTTCATTTGCTGAATGTGCTGATATTGCTTCAGCCGATTAACTGGCGTCTGGGAGTAATCACATTCTGGCAGCGA